ACAAACTGCTCTCTACAGGAACTATGGTTTCTCCCCATCACTCTGGATATGACTCAGAACACGAGCTGCGCAAATCCTTATTTCTGTCCCTCTGTGCTGTCCTGCTTTGCACAGTCTAACAATGACAATTCTACTGCAAAAACTTCTTATACCTGCTTGAAGTGCATTCAAACAAGACTGGCTCAAGTGGGAACAGGCAGTATTTTCTACTTGACTTCTGTTTGTGCACACTTGAAAACTGCATTTATTGTCAACAGTGTTGTATGTGTGCCTGCTGGAGCCAACAGGCCAAGCTTCCACTTCTCCCCAGCTTTCCTGATGTTCTCAATACACAGCTGTGTGCATGTGTACATGTAGTGTTCAACCCCAACCACTCTCATCTGCCTCCCCAGACCAGTGGCACAGCTGGATGCCCAAGGACAGGGCTGTAACCTCTGCCAAATTCTTTCACTTTACCCCAAGCTCAGGAAACTGTCAAGAAACCCTGGCTTCCCTCTGGGAACTGTGCTCCCTCAAAGCACTGGGTGAATGAGGGCTAAGGCCATGGGTAGCTGAAATCTTGACTTCTGAGCCTATTGCATCCCCTTGCTTGAAACTTCACCTTTTTAAGTGGCATCTTTCAACACAACACCAGTGTTACCTCTGGGGCTCCCAAACCAGTTAATGAATCAGTCCAAATCAGAATGGAACTGGACAGACTTCAAGCACAAGCTTCAGGTAAAATAAGCTGAACATAGACCCATAGTTCTTAACTATTCTTTAAGTACATGTTATTTTTCCCAACATTAAAAAAAGGCTGGTAGTATCTAGCACTAGAAAATTAATGAGTTTTAAATCTGAACATAGTATACCACCAGTTTTTAAATACTCTGCTCTATTTTCTCTCTTCTCATCTTTCCCATCTGGTATGTTTGAGTAATAATTTAGCAAATATTTTTCTCCACGGCTGTCAGAAAAATCTCGTAGCATTTTGGAAACACCAAACATTATCTTGTGAGGTAAATTAGGACACAGAGAAGTAGCATGACATATATGTGATCACACCTTGTCAGTGGCAGAGACAGTAACAGAAATCTCAATATGTGCTGCTTCAGAGTTTTCAAGAAAAGAAATTGGTAATATATAACAAATAGTGAAGCTGAAACTATGTCAAGTTACATTTGGAGGATGATCTGCAGAAGTTAAAGAAATGCAGTTTCAATATAGGAAAAATTTCTTGTTCCAGTGCTTTATTTTTGTTAAGATTTCTTTATGAGAATTCAAACCCAGCCAGCTGTCTTCTACAGTACACAAAACCTTAACCCTACACAGCTCCTTAGTCCTGAGCTTTCTTCTCTCAGGGGATGAATCTATGGAGACTGCAGCCAGAAAGTCTGTGTCCACCTCCACTCTTTACACTGGGAACCACAGAAAAGAACTGTTAAGTACAGGTCTCTTTCCTAGCTACTTTAGTCAGAATTCATCTATAAGTTTTGCTTATTACTGAGCTAAGATGAATTAAGGACATGCCACACAGAAAGCCACATATACCATTATCAGTTTCCCAGTTCACTTTGTCAGGATCTACTGCAGGCGTCAGAAAAACCCTTAGCCAAAACAAGACAGCAAAACCCTACCTCAGAGAAGCAGCTGCTGTTCTAGAGATTACAAAATCAGAAAGGAAAAGACAATTAAAAAGCCTCCAAGAAAATCAATCTAAAACGTGCACTTTTTCCTCATACCATCAGCATGAGAATTTCTATCAGCCTTTCCCTGCAGCTATACAAGGGTTAAAAATTACTCTAAAGAGAAATATTTGACAAGATTCTCAGCCAATGACATTGAAAGAAAATGTCTGGCTTTAAGAAAATGCCAGCTATCACAAGATGTATGACAGAAAGCAAGAGATGCTGACACTCGGTTTTCTTCCACTGGAAAAGATACATGCTAAACCAGATTTCCCATCCTTTTTCTAAAGTTGCTGCACCCCATTCAGCCAGGGAACAGATCACATCTTGGAATAAAAGGTTTGGAATCACAGTTTCTCCCCTACAAAGTTCAAGCTTTACAAAAGGAAAGCTTTGCCTCCACAGAGCTGCAAACTGCACAAGAGGAAGTTATTTCCTCTCTTCTATTCCCTCAGGAGGTGTTACATTCTTATAACCTGTCAGGCTTACCCAGGCATATTTGTAATTTATATTTAGTATAAGGTCATTTTTTTTACACACTACCTCTGGATATTCCTAACACAAAGAGTGAATTCTGATTACTTCCTTTTCTCTTACAGGTCAGATACCTTTCCCAGTGCTGCTGTGCACTGGAAGTCTACATGAAACAACTTTCTGAATACACCAAAACCACAGTGAAAGATAAAAAAGACAAACATTACTGGATTTTTCTGCATCTTAAAATATAATTGCAAAACACTAAAAGTAAGATTTCCCTTACATTTAAAATAGCATCTGTGTTTAACTAGAAGTGGGAAAAACTTAGCTGAAATACATATAAACACGCATACTCAGAGAAAGGGGCACTCTCAAACTAGTCCGGTCAAAGCTACGGAGAGATGATACACAAACTGAATACTGTCATTTCAGAACAAGTTCAAGTCACCCACAAAAATGGTCAGGACAGCCCTAATTTTAAAATGGCAAGAAGAAAAGGGATGGAAGAAAGAAAGAAGAAAAAAACAGATCTGGAGAGAGTAGTGACATTTGGATAGTTGGCAGGGATCTTAATACGGTTTCAGGCAACAGCCAAGTCAAAAGGAAAGTTACTGTAGAAATTCAAACTCCATTGACAAACAATTGTCCTGTCCCACACACTCACTTCTGCTGGAAGTGAATAATTCTGTACCCACACAAAGCATTGTCATTAAGAGCCAGAATTTACAGTGAGAACCACAATGTACAAGCTATTAACAAGCAGTTATACTGCATCATTCAAAGGCCCTTGCAGCCAAATAATCCCTCTTAAGTGGTAACCAGTGGAAGGCACTGCCTAGGGGAAGTTTTGAAGGGTAAATAGACAAACTTATTTCCCAGTCTTCAAGAATTTGTGGTTGAAGAATAGATACTTTAATATCCATTGTTGGATTTTTTGCCAATGAATTTGTCTAATTGCTTTGGGAATATATAGCACCCTGTGGACCTAAGTTCCATCGCATATTAATACATGATGGAAATAAGTACCTCTCTTTTTGTACTGTGAACCTGCCTGCTGCTAATTTCATTGGAAGAGCCTAGCTCTTGAATTATGGGCATGAATGACCATTCTCTATTCACCTGCTCCACATATTGAACAGCTTCACAAATGCTTATCCTACCCATTCCTGTCTTCCTTCAGGCTGACTCTTCCTCTGTTTAGAAGTTTCTGTGAGAGAACTTTCCATCTGTGCTCATAGAATCACTGGGAGCATTTCTGCACACAACCTTGTTACCTCTCTCATTGTGCTTTCTAGTTGTACTATTCTGGGGGAAAAGGATGGTAGGAAGGGAGGGAGGCAGGGAGAGAGAAGACCAGTACAGTAGGAAGCTACACCATTCCCTGTTTATTTTTCTCTAACATCGTCATTCCAAGATGCCTTCAAGCATGAATACACAATTATACAATATTTCAAAATTTTTCTTTGTAATTATAAAGAAAAGAAAATGGAAACCACTACACTGTCTTCAAGCCCAACTCAAGCCAGCTTCTGAGTCAATAGTCTGGTTTTCCCCACATTCTTACTGGCGTCCCACTTGCACAACATTATTTGTATAGGCAGCCCAACCTTGTAGAACTTCCAGCTTTGATGTATTTTCCAGACTGGATATCTGCTGCAGATTTAACATTTCTGGAAAGTTTCACGGAACAAAACCAAGCCAATTCAGATAATGAAATTAAGGAAAAGTATATGTTGTTCTGCTCTTCTGAAAAGCTCCAATGCCTTCATGAGCTACAGAAGAGATTTTAAATTGGCAGTGCACTACCCTCATATCAGGGACATATTTTCCCATTCCTATGAAAATATGAAGTTTGGCCAACTTACAACTACTGAGTCTATATAAACTATGGTTTTCTAAAGATTCACTAGAGTCTGAAGGCTGAAGATGAAATCAGAATGCACCATCTCCTGTCCACAACCCTGTTAACCAAACTGAAGAGTCATTATCCTCCTTAAACAGTTCCAGCTTGTTCTGGATCTGCAGAAACTGAACTGGACTTTTCCTGCAACTGAGGCTTCCAGAGCTTGCTGTGACACCCAACAAAACAGAAAGTGGTTCAGCTGTAGCTACATGCTCACCAGTACCTGTGTATTACTGCCTAGCCAGTATTATGTGCACTGGTACGAAGCACCCTGAAATAAAATGAGGAGGGAAACATGATGGCAGAAAAGAATTCAGGGAAGTAGCTGAGACTAGAACAAAGCCCCTGCTAGAGATATGCCCAGACTGAAAACAAGGTAGATACCACATGGAGATGGAGGAATGAAGGGATGAGTTCAGAAAAGGCTAACTGGAAACTGCAATGAATTGGGGAACAGTAGATTTAGAGAATGACCTGGGAGCTTAGAGAAGGAAAACAGAGTGTAAATGCAAGAGGTGTGAAGACATTCTTGGAAAAGAATACGGACAGAAAGGATGAAGCTTCCTTGAGTCTACATCAGATCTCATTATCCCTGACACCTAGCATTCCTCCTCTATAGGCAAATAACCCTAAACCTCACTGAAAGAGTCCTCACCCCCCTCTAGTGCTCATCCATGAATGACCCTATAAAGTAATTTTGACATAACTGACATAAAACCAAAGACTAAACAGAAAGAACAATCCCTGCATATGTCTCTCACTGCAAGATGATGCATAATAAGCTTCCTATTTGCATATGCATATACAGACAAAATGCTTTCATTCAGGAGCAAAATGCAAAGATCCTAAAAAATTAGTGCGGAACTATTTTGCTGTTAAGAGCACATTTGATAGAGAAAAGGGTATTTAACATCACTCCCCCAACTGCCAGAAGCAACTTTAAAAATACTCACATTTTTCAACGACGAGACAATTGCACACTGAAGTAATTTGCAAACTGCATTAAGAACGGTGCCACGGCTCTTCTCTGCTTCAAGCACTTGCTCTTCAAGGGGGAAAATGGTGTGCAACCCATTTTAACAAATGCCTATGGAGAGATTAAAAATATCTAATGAAAATTAAAAGCATCTGTGCTTTTCAACCTTACCCTAGCTAGAGATCAGAAGCCAAAGAAAAAGCTGTAACAAGATTTCAGAGTGAGCTATTGCTAATATAAATATCCAAGGGGCACATACTCAGAAGCAGACTACAAATAGTTACAGCCATGAGAACCACCAGTGGTCATGACCTAAGGCTAATTTTTCTCCTTACCTAAGGGCAGACTTTTGCTCCCTGCTCATCACAGGGAGTATGTAAGTACTTGCATAGTGTCTAAAGGTCTGGCAACATTTCAGCAGGGAGGTGAAAAGCTCTCCAGAACCCACAAAGAGACTGCTACTACTGGTGAGAGTGAGAAAGCAGCCAAAGTGGTAGGAGGAAGTAGACAGCAAAACAAATGATAACAAGTGAAAAAAGGGTCAGGGATTATTGACCTAAAACATACATGTCTTCAGTTTCAGTTGACATTTGAGCCATAAGGGAAAGCTAACTAGAAACAACAGTGTATATATCTGTTACAATACAGAACAGTTTGCAAAGACTCTCCAATAATGACTAAGCTTCACCTTTTTTTTGAGAGGTTGAGCACTGCCCATTTTAGGCATGGGGAAGGTGAGGCTGAACAGGTAAATTCATTGCTCAAAACGTACCAGTGGCAACCTCACAATTAAACCCCAACAGATTCTCATCCTATATAACCATTACACAACAGTTCTTTCCTTTCTTACTCTTGGGAGTACAAGTTAATTTCTCCCTTGAAAATCCCCATGGATGCTAAACTTTAAATTTAAAAGTTATAATTAAAACATTAACTACTGCTCAAATTGCCAATTGAATCTCGTATTCTCAGATTCCTGAATTACAGCTGGTAATGTTAAGGAGCAAAACTGCCTCTGAGCCAACCAAGGTATTACCTTCCCTTGATAACCAAGAAAGCCTCTGAATAGAATTCTGCTGCACTATTCAAGGTGCCTATAGCCCCGCAAAGACTGGTGCTTTCTTCATATTCCAAATTACTATGTCTGTACAGCAGTACTAAGGGAATGGGATCAGGAAGGTTTGGGTTATTTTCCCTTCCCTGTATCAGAGGGGGGAAAACCACTAAGGAGTTCTTACCATACTTTTGGCACCAGTATTTGTTTAGGGTTTTATTTTCCTGTTTCCAATTCCCAACCACCTATAAACATGGCATTTGCAAAAAAAGACCAAAATGGGTGAGACACTTCCAGAAACAGTTGGTTTGGAACATGATTCATTTTTCACAGCTCTAACTGATGTACACATTCAAGTATGGCTAAATTGTCAAGCACGCTGAGAGCCCGTTAGCTGCTTCTTGGACTGGGGTACTCAGTTATGAAAACCAGGCAGAGGTTTCTAAGCAGGCTATCAGTTGACTCCCACTTTTGTTCTAAAATGCCTTGTCCCAGTTTCCTGTCTGAAGCTTTCTCCTGGTGCTAAGTCCATAAAATAAGTACTGGTTTCATAAGTTACCACATGTAGGTGTAAACATGCAAGCTACAAAAAATGAACTGCATTTAAAGAAAACCTGCTGAAAGTTAAGTCAATTGCCCTGTCCCTCCTGGCACAATAAACCTTACTAGAGAATATTACTTAGTACAAGGGTAGAGCCTAAAGCTTGAATGCTGCCTATCTGGATTTAATGCTACAAACACTTGGGTTCCTTTCACTTTGAGTCAGTTGAAACTGATTTTAAGCATTACACAATTTATCTCATCATGTTTTCGTTATATTCTTCCCAGAGGCCAACTTGCCCTCATTTGACACAAGTTATATCATGCTGCTTACTAAATATGGTGAGGGCATCACCTCAGTGAGTCATGCTGGCTTCCCTCATTCAGGATACAACAAACACTAAAGCAGATGCAACAGAAGGTGGAAGCTCAGAGATCTCTCCACTACTACGTACCAACAACTTAAAATAGGGATGTCCAGCACTGATGTGAGACTTGAATTTTTTAAGTTATAAATGGTTTCAGATACTCCTTCAAGCCACAAAACACATTATCATTATTAGCATTATTATGAACAGCAAACCCACAACTAATGATTTTAATTTACCATTAGGAATTGCAGAGTCCACAGCAACAAATTACTCAGTGATGTTCCAAACCCCTAAGCACTTACATGTGCTGAACCATGAGCAAACATACTGATTTAAAACCAGACATAAGACAACAGAGAGCAATAAACGTCCAAGTGCTCCATGTAAATACCCGGACAGTTGACCTACAAAACACATAAAAAGGAGGATGTAAATTTTCTAATAAAAGGGACAAACCTCTAGTTTATGCACTTTGGCACATATGTGGTTCATTTCCATCACTTGTCTTTAATCAGGGGAAAGGTCTCATCCAGGATCTCTGATGTATCACTTCTGGTCTGCATGAAAGAAAGTATCTGACATGAGGACAGATCTTGCAGATAAATGCTATTTTTCTCATTTCATTATTTTTTTCATACAAATGTTTTAAAACAAACACCTATTCAGAACAGACACGACCAGGACCCTTTTGCAGTATATTATAAAGGACAGATTGGGAAAATAACTTTCTTTCTCAAGGAACCCCTGAGACAACAACAACAACAAAACAACAACCAAAACAACAACCCAAACCCAACAGTAGATGACAGGATGCCCACATCAAAACTAGAGTCAAATCCTTTCCTCTTCTCCACAAATTTCCACACTACTCCTCCCAAGAGATTACCCACTTTCTATTATGAAATACTGTAGACATGACAGGCAATGATGGATTTACAATGTAAACTGCCTCTAGACCATCCTTCATGCTTTGATTTTACTGGAGAAGAGACAACTTACGCTACTTATCAATCAGGTTTTAGAAACAGTCAGATCTTTGAGTACACCACTTAGAGTATCTTGCCTTCAACAGCATTCAGGAGAGCAAGACTCTTCACACAACATAGCATAGGCACAACAGAGAAAGCCTCTGCTCCCTAGTACCTGTCAGCACCCACAATAGCCAAGTGCCCTAATACAGGAAAGATATTTGGGTTTTTTGTTACCTACTACAACCAAGACTGTTTCTGGTAACCATAGGAGAGCTTGAACCTTATCTGAAATCCTGCTGAGTGTTGTGTCAGCAAGAATTACCCAATTTCCTACAGAAAAAACTGCCAGTGCTTTGTCAGGTGCAGGTGAGATATACCTCCAAACACAGCACTACAGCTAATGGGACATACAAGCCAACAGTGATGGACAAGACAAGAACTGGGAAGAACTCTTTAAGGAAAAAGATGAAAGAAAACCCAAGAAAACACTCAAACAGGCATTCTAAATTGTAAAACAGAGCTGCAACACACCGACAAGAGAAATAAGAGATGCAGCTGAGCCCACTTATACACAAGTTTTCTTTCTCAATTATAGTGGAGTATAGGAGGTCTCGGTTCTCTTCTGGATTAAAACTGTCCTGCTTACCATTTTAACAGATGTAAAGAACACAGAGGAACAAGGATCCCTTCAAAAGACATTTCTGTCCCAAAGACTGAACTAGAAGATATCCTTCCTTCAATTTTATAGGAAAGAGTAAGGAAAGCTTAGCTAGATTGAGAGATTCTGGCATTGCACTAATCCTGCAGGGAATTTTTTGGGCATTTTGAGATTTGAGATAAACCAGAATCTCAAATAAGGTAAAAATACCTGTTATAAATCATTTAATCCATGGACCATGCTGTATAAACTCTAATGCATGCTTAGCATTGTACTGATGATCATATGACTCATTTGTGTTTGGCGTTTTTAAGAAGCTGTGTTTTTTAAAGCTGAGCATACACCAAGCTATATACATATAGAATGACTCACAGTAAGATTGTATGGTATTTTTATTACCAGAATGACTGCATGTGTTTTGTAACAGGCGCTCAAACAGGCATATCAAAATACTAGTAGCTTTCTATTGCAAACAAACCAACAGCATCTCCAGTATTACTTGTCTCAACACTACATCCAGATACGTACACAGACACCTCTGCCAGCAGTAACACAAGTGGATACACAGACAGTCTGTATGCACTTTATAGGCAACAGCAAGGGAGCTCAGGCACTCATGCAGGATCCCTGTGAATGGAGTTAGATTTGTATTTCCTCATGTTAAATAAAAATACAGAATTAATACATAACAAAGGAGCTGAAGCAGATGAATTCCAGGCTTGTTCTACTGAATTCTTTTGATCAATGGTAGGCAAAAAAACTCTCCTCTATCATAAAGCACATGTGAAAGCAGATTGGTGATCTTTCTGAGGTGAGGTTCATGCTCAGGTAAACTGCATCAGGTTAAAATTTCAGCCTGAAATTTCCAAACATAAGGTAACAAACTTGTCTGCTGATACTGGTTTCAGAAAGGACCAGGGAATAGGCTCTCTTACAGCTAAATGCTAGATAACCACTCTAAATAGAAACACAGTTTGGGACTTAGTGAGAAAGAGGGAGATGCTGCACAGATCCAGTACAAAACCTGCCAACACAAGGTCAGAGCAGGCATGGAACAGATTTAAACCATCTTTCTTTGAGGGAAAAAGCAAAAAACCAATATAAGACACAGGAGAGCTGATCTTCCAGCAAGCAGCCTGTGATGAAAGGAAATGATATGCAAATATGATTCAAGAAGAGTAATTCTGCAGCAGTCTGCAGAACCACAGCGACAGAGGAGTTCAAGAGGAGTCAGCACATGACAAAGGGAAATGATTCTCTTGGTACAGCAACCTCTCATGCGCCAGAGAAGGCAAGACTGGTCTGAAACCCCACATTATAAAACAAGGTTTATTTCCCCCCTGTGCGATGTATTTTTCTTTATCTTTCTGAAGATTTAGCTCTGTACAAACACCAGAGCACAGCAGTCTCTGGGAAAAACAGGTATTCTTCTCACTCGATTTTACTACACTATTGGAGGAGGGGGTGAGGAGGGAAGGTTTGATTGAGCTTTGTCTTCTAGTTTACATCTGCAAGAATAAGCTCAAGGAGGCAGCAAATCAACAGCACCAAAGTCAGTTCGAAGACAACATAACCAGAGTAGGAATGGTGAATTAGAACACAAACCAGGAAAAGAACATTGCATGTAGGGCAGTGGGACCTGATCCTCAAATACATACACTGCAGTTCAATCTGCACCAGGTAAACAAGATTCTTGTTATTTGGTCTTTAATAAAAGCTATTTTTTTTTTCCCCAGGAAAATAATAAAATCAAAAGAAGTCGCTGGAACACCAAGTCAAAGATACTGTACAGATTCTAGTTGTCACAGGGACTTCTTTGAAAGGACCTGATATTATTTTTTCAGTCTTGGATCCCATATGTTAACACAGAGTAAAATAAAAGGATCACAAGCAATCACTGCAAACTGAAGAGCACACTGATGAGAAAAGAGAAGACTGATGCTAGTAAGCTCCTGAGAAGTCAGCAAACCTTAGCCCCAGGAAACCAAACTAAACAACCTCTTCCTCTTTTCCTCAGTGACAAAACCAGGTTTCACACCTGGAGCCTTAGGGAGGAGGTTCCCAAACTGCAAGTCAGGGAGACAAAGATAAGCATTTAGCAGCTTGTCTGTGGAACCATAATAAAGGAAGATCTAGGGACACATCACTTCCATGGGACTAGTTCTGCAAGAAGGTTCCACATCTTGAGAACCACTAACCTGCGGGTTTATGAACTGATGAGTAGATGGCAGTAGAATATGTGTTAAAGAAAAAAAGAGGAGTATCAAATATAAGCAGAGATTTTGTATCTATCCATAGACCCTCTTCAAAGACTAGGAGCCAAAGAAATGGAAGTAGTGAATTTCCACATGTAGCTAACCCAGCTGTGCATGTCTGAATAGATGTAATTTTCAATCATGCTTTAAGATACACAAGAAGCACAAAGAATCATACATAAAGAGGTAACCAACAATGCCTCATGGAAACAATACAAAAAACAGCATGTACAAGTCTGGTTACTACAATGATATTTTTCTTTTGCCTTTGTGCCACTGGTTCAAATCAGAGCTCAGTTGAAGAAAAACAAAAAATCACAATGTGATAATTACACCTGAGAGGCTCTGAAGCCACTTAAAAGACATTAATTCACTTTGTTGAAGACAGTGCCGTAAGGAAGACATCACAGAAAGTTATATTTAACGGGCACTGAAATTCTTCTAGCACAATCTCTTCTCTGCAAGCTGCTCCCTCTGTGGCAAATGTGAGGCATGCTGAGCTGCATTTACACTGTCATTGGAACTTACCTACTGTACAAGTGTCCATTTTCAGTGCTGTGCCATCTGGGTACAACAGTACAACACTGGGAATAGCATTTTGTCTTCCTAGCACTGAGGACCCAGGTTTTTCCTCATTGCACTATTCGAATGTATGCATCAAGAGTGCTTGTAAGTGAAAAGCAGCAGCAGGCTCAAAGGAGAAAAGCCAAATCCCCCTGTGTGAATACTGTATAGAATGCCCAGTTGAGAAAAGCAAGATTCCTCTTGACTTTCACTGGCATAGACAAAAGACCAAACTCTTGCTAGGCACAGAACCTGGAATCAGTTCAAACACTGCATTATATTTATCAGATTCCCAAATACCACTTGATGTACTGCTGAAAGGAACCTTCCATTGTAGGTACAGAATCAGCATACTGACTGCAGTGCTTTGATGTTCCCAGATAAGGTCAATAATCTGCATAGCAGGGAATTATTCACAGCCTGCAGGTTGTGGAAACATGTTTTCAGGGGCAATGCAAAGATAGTGTGTTGAAACTAGGTTAGTGTTTTTTGCAGAAAAGGTTGTGAGACTTCTCTTGCCAGGAAGAAGAATCTGAATCCATCTGAACAAGCTGAGTATCTTCCTTACTCTGAAGCCAAAACTGTAAGGTGCATGTCTGATTGACAGGAAAAAGCATAAGGTACATTCAAAATCTTAGCGTGAGCTCTCAAACAGAAGAATTGAGTGAATGAACTTAACAGTAAATCAGACAGAATATGATCAGCAGTGAAGAGCTATTGATTCAACCACTTGCTTTGAGCAAGCAATGTAGTATCACTGAAGCAATCATCGTCTTTCAGGAATGAAGTCAAAGGATTTTTGGGGCCCAAGAAGCCAATCTCCTGTATTCTACATTTTGCACAGACTAAATGTGCCATACTAGAGAATCTAAAGCTAACAAATGTAAGCCAAGATACATCAAAAAAGAGGTGGCATGCTCTGAGGTTCACATGTTCCGTTATAGCTATTTTTGTCAAAAGCTGAATGGAAAAAAGAACTGCTCAAACAGCCAACAATATTGAACTATTCTTACTAGGAAGCTATTTCTCCTTTTAAGTCCCCTGCTAACCATGTGAGACTTTGATAAGCCAAGCTTTTGTTTCTTTCCACTCAATGTCAACTCCTTCTGGAAGCAATGATGCCTCCTTTCCATAAGCAAGACACATCAACGACAAAACCAGAAACTTCTGACGGAAGTCAGAAAAAGATTAATAACTGATTCTATTACTAACTGATTTTGCCTGGAACAAGGATTACGGCCTCAATTCTCTTGGGCAGAATTCACATCCAAGGTGCAAGGAAGATCTGTTCCATAATCACAGAATATTAATAATTAACTAGCTTATGATATTTTGCATAAGCTGCCCAACATGTTCATTTGAGTTTTCAATGGGCTCTTGCAGCCCACACCAGGATGCTTTGGAGCCACCTATGACTTAAGAGTTCCGTCTTTTCACCAAACAACGCTGGAATACAGGAACAGAAAAGCGGAAAAAGGCTTAGGAGGCAATATCGGTATTTGTTCTGTGTACAGAAGACAACGTGCAGAAAGACCAGCATACCAATGTCTTTCGTTTGCACTAAAGCAGGGAAGAATAAAGCCAGGAAACTTCAATTGCCTAAGAAACACTAGCCACATACTTTTCTTATCTGCTTCACTTTATCCTGTCTCAATCCATTTATCTCTGCAATTCCTAGTAATCATCCAACAGAATAGCTCATAGGCAACAAGTGCCCAAGGAGATGCTGGTCACTTCCTGCCATCAGAAGTGCATTCAATGCAATTAGCAACCATTGCAGCTGCCAGTAACACAACAGGCATTGCACAAGATGCTTGGAGATGGAAGAAAAACATTGTGGTAAGTACTAACAGATAAGAGGAAACCCTCTAGGCAAACTTCGTCCATGCTCTAAACTAGCACTCCATGAAACACTTGGAAAGGGTTAAAATGCATTAGCAGCTCCTCTACCTAATCTTATGGGTTTAGCCGGAGGAAGGAAAGAAAACTTGACTGCAAAACTCCCCTCTGTTATTTGGACACTATCGCTCAGGTAGCCTTCAGACAGCACTTTAAGCAGAAAGCCTGAGGTAAGCTGAACAGTAACACACCTCTCTTGCTCTAGTCGGTATATCCAAACAGGCAGTGACAACGGCGAGGATAATGGGCGTGCTAAAGCGTTTTACAGCCATCAGCCACCCCGTCGTTAACCCGCGATCCCCAGTCAGTCACTGCACCCGCACCAACCTCTCACACCCTGAGGGCAGGCCCTTCGCTGACACAACCCCGGCACCAGGCACAGGCCGCGCTTTGCGCCTGGTGTGACCGCTACACCTAAGTGCGTGCCCGGGCAGAACAGCGCCGCTGCCACAGCACTGCTGCTCCCTCCCGGCGGGTTTCATGACGGAGCGCGGGGAGGGCAGCACTGGCGCCGTTGAACCGCTCCCGAGCTCCCCGCCCTGCGGCCGGGCCGCCATGAGGCGCGGGCCGCTCGCACCCACCTGCACCCGCCCGAGCGCCACCTGGCGGGCGAGGCTCCCCGCAGCCCTTCCCCGCGGCGGCCGCGCTGCCAAGATGGCGGCCCCGCGCGCGCCGCCGCCGCCTGCCGGACACGTACCGTGCGGGGCTGCTGTCCCGCCGCGCTCCTCCGGCCTCCTCAGCGGCTCCGCCATGGGCAGCTCCCTTTCCTTCACCTGCGGGCAGCGAGACAGGCACAGAGCCCCGGCGGGGGCCTCGCCTCCTTTCACCTGGTGGTAAAGTGAAGGAAGCCAGAGTCGGCTGTGAAATTCAAACTGCAGGTGTCAATCCAACAGTTATTTTGCCATGGACACCATCATCCAGGCAGCCTTCAGTGGGGGAACTCCAGAATGGGTTTTGCCATTCTTAAAAGTGCCCAAGGAGCTCCCAAAACAGGTACAGCTCCTGTGTGGAACGGCCCAGCAGAGGGAGTTGCTATCATGGGAAGGCATTAGATAGAAGAAAGGGTGGAAGAGGAAGAACAGGGAAGAAAACAAATGTGCTTTATCAGCAAGTGTTGGAATGGAAACCACAAGGCTCTTGTTTGAAGCAAGTGTTAAAAGCAGCACGTACACATTCACAAAAGGCGCTTTGCAGGGACTGAAGATGCTCACTGGCCTGTCACTCCTCTTTTACATTCTAAAACGTATTCGATGTAAGTGGAGAAAAAGTCATTCCCTACAGAGCCTGAGTCAGCTTTCCAGCTCAAAGAAGGTGATGTTGCGCCTCTGGAGAGCTACTTGCAGCCATCTGCAACAGAATGGGTTTGAGGGAAGGATCTCGGGTATAGGGGTGCTCCTGGAGGAAGCTTCTGCACCAACCCAGCACTGGTGCTGTCACTGCAACGGAATTTCCACATCCAAGTTTCTCCTCGGCAAGAAAGAGCACTCTTCCCCCCCCCTGCACCCAGGTTAACTCTAAACAGGATCCCTGCTAAACAGCAGGAAAATGCATTCTTTTCAAACAATTCTACCAAGCTCCCGACGTTTCCTGGCAAGCCTGAGCAGTCAGCTTCACAGGCCTGGACACTGACACAGTTCAGGACTAGTGCGGTTAGCGTAAAGAGACAGTCCAAAATTGATATCATAGAATCACAGAATGGGTTGGGATGGGAAGGATCTTAAGAGCATCCAGTTCCAACCCCCTGCCATGGGAAGGGATGCCTCACACTAAACCACGTCACCCAAGGCTCTGTCCAACCTGGCCTTGAGCACAGCGTCAGGGATGGAGCATTTACCACTTCTTTAGGCAACCTGTGCCAGTGCCTCACCACCCTCACAGTAAAGAACTTCCTTATATCTAACCTGAGCTTCCCCTGTTTATTTTAATAATATTAAATGTACAGCTTGGAAAAGGCCATTCGATGAGAGCAATCATTAAAAGCATGGCTATACAGCAGGTATCAGTTCCACTAATTTGGCAGATGACCCATTAAAGAAACATCCGTTTAACAAAGCTGCTTCAGGTGTACGGGTGCCCTGCTCTGACTGAGGTTGCAGACACACTTCAGGCATGTAGCTTGGTGACATTATGAGCCCTTCTAATACTTACCATGAGCATCTGATATTTACCATGTTCATAAAGACTCAAACATAGAGTCATAGAGTAGCATGTGTTAGGAGACAGAAGCAAAGTTTATTGACACCATTGAAAACAAGTTAATTCAAAACAGATCCACAGTCCTGAGCTAGAGTGTTACATAGCCTGAGATACAACAGAAGACAACAATAGTAAGAAACAATAGAAAATAGATGCAAACAAACCACTTCACACTATTTCTTCAAGACATGCCACTAGAAAAGCACACTAGGCATAAAAAGTCAAAACAGTATGTTTAAAAAGGACTCAACTGCAAATACTTAGCAGTTCCATATGAATGGTAAAACAACATTTTAAGTGCTCAATGTATTTAAGACACCATCCAAAATGGTTAAGATGGGCCTGTTGCAAATAGCAATATCAACAATGTATGTACCATCATCTGTAATTAGGTACTTATTAAACAAGACCAGACCATACAAGCTTCTTTCAGGTGATTATAGAACTCACTGTATATTTAAGATCTGAAATAAAACCCACTGAACACTTTTCAAAGATATGATGAAAATATGGGGTGGCAGGTGTTTTTTGGTTAAGATTGTAGTTTCACAATCACCTTAAAATTCTATAAGCTGGCATTGGCAGTAGAAGTAGCCTACCCTTTTCCATCATTCACACCCTAAAGCCAACCCTTTGTACAAGGGGACACACACAGTGGAATGAATCAGGAAATTGTTCTGTGTCAAAAACCAACCATTAATATCTTTGCCATGTAATTTTAGCTCCCATCAGTTGTTTGGCTCAATTCATCACAGAGCCATGTTAAGGCTAGCGCTGACAAAGACAACAGGTAGTAAGAGGAAGAGACACTGGATCTTTCAATAGCAGTGTTAACTTATCATGAAAACTTTAGCCAAAGGCACAACAGCACTACTTCCAGATGGCATTTTAATGTTCCCATGTATCTGCTACTGATTCGCCTATTTATGGACAGAAAACAAAATACAGTTAAAATCGTCACTTCATTTTGTAATTCAGAGGGAAGAAATAAGCAGTCTAGCTTGAGGTTAGCTTTCCTTTCAGACCTTGTTTTATGTATTATATGCTGTACCCATGGTAATATCTCTTTCTCACCACTTCCCTTTAAAGGTCTTTGTTTCTCAACAGCGAACTCCTCCCTCTTTACTCCAAGCCTAAGATAAGCTTTTATAACTCCCCCCATCTCTCCTTCCATTTTGCCTCAGCATTATGCTCCCGTTATACCTTATAACATTTGACTTGCTTTTCCCAGGGATCTCTTCTTTTCTTTTAAACACTGACCTGTCTCCTTGATAAAAAGATTTGGGCTAGGTATTTTATATTGTCAGCTGTTCAGGCCCACAGATTATGAATACAGTGCTCTAACTTATCACACGGCATTAAGGAGCATGAGAAGAAGAAAATTCAGCACTAAATCTCTTCTACAAAGGTTTCCAAAAGCCACCTGCTTTCACTCAAAAAGTTCACTGCCTTTGTTGGAATGTGAAGTGCTCTCCTGGCATGTCATTAAGATGGAAATGCAGGCATAGAAAACTTTAAAAATAGCTAAAGCAGAAAACCACACAGATCTTTATAACATTAAAGACCCCAGCAGGAACATTTCAGTATTGCCAAAAATTAATAGGGTCTTCAGTGATGGCCTCCTATACCAGCTTCAGAGCACTGAAAAAAAACCAAACCTACAAAGGGAGAATAATCGGTGTATAAGGAGATGCAAATAGAGCAGAATGGCAAGGATTTAAATAGTAAAACTAAAGAATTTCACAGCAGATAAATGTATTGTGCAAAATATGCTTGAAAGCTTTCACTTAGCAAAATCGACTGGCCTACACAAATACCTTATTTTGCATTCATCGTGATCGTAGTCTCATTTGCTACAACTGCTACACAAAATTAAAAAGCACTATGAAAATGAGGAGTTATATGCTGGAGGAAACTTAAAAATGCAAAACTAAGGCAACTCTTTGGGATTAGGAACTGAAAGCCCTCATTTCCACAACATGGGTATATGACAGAGCTGAGCCAGCAAGGCAAGGCCCACAATAAGAGGTGCTTAAGAAGATGCTTCCACAAAAGACGTGACTGATCCCCAAGTAGGAAAATACCAAAATGTTATCCCTACCTTGAGCAAGCTACCAATATGTGGGAGAGTCAAGAGAGAGCAATATTAAAGCAGGTGTTTATTTTCAGCTGAAGGTGCCTGAAGGGAACAGAATGACTTGCAAGTAGCAAAGGACACAAGTTGTTTCTGTTGTTGTTAAGAACTAACAGGCTTAGGACTTCGTTGCAGAAACACACAGCCTGCCATACAGTGCTACACAGGAATCTTGTTTTACTCATTGGCATGTCTTCTTTATTTCTTATTTAACAGCAGTATGAGTGGCACTTGAAGAAACCAACAGAATCCAGCTAACATGAACTAATACTTTAATGAAACTTATTCCCTGCTATGTGTTTCACTTTGCCCTGTCATCTTAATCAAGCTTAAACATTCATTTTTGTAACTGTTACTTGTTTCTGGCCCTGTATAGATGTGTGACTAATAAAGCAGATCTTAATCCAGAAGTGAGACAAGAGCTGTCAGTGGTTTTACCACAAGAATTATGTGGGTATCATGGACTAAAGTGTTATATCATCTCCTTGGAAATGCTGAACAGAAAACCAAAATAAAGATCCCAAGATTTGGACCTGTCTGACTTGCTGCAAATCACAGACAGCCACAGATGGAGAGGTGAAATTGATGTTGTGATGGTATCAAGGGAGAGGCATAGGAAAAAAGTCTCTGAATAGTGAAACAACAAGAGTTTCTAATTTTTTCTTTTCTTCATAGAGACAAAAATAAATCGTATCAGAATTTAACTGCCAAAACGAAGGGAGGGGTGAGGGGAAGCTGTTTTAAGGACTGATTTCAAAGAGTCTTTTATCTTGACAAGAAAAGATTTTAGATGATCTGCCCAAAGAGAATGTTACTCGCTTTCCACCAGCAGCAGGCTCAGTGGGATAGCAGCTACCTACAGGTTAGGAAGGGGGATACCCGCAAACACTCTCTTGTCTTGTAGCCTTCTTCTGTTTTTGAGGGGTGGGGGAGTGTCTTAGCCTACAGTGTGCAACTTCAAAACCTCCCTCTTTGCCTTCAGGGATCTCAAGCGTCCCCTATCCATCACCAGGATGGTGACAGTCTGCAAGATCACCGCTGTCACCAACCTCACGGAGCTAAACAGTTAGCATCTCCTAACTACCCGCACCTAGGACCCTCAAACTAAGCATCATTCCACTTCATCATCAGCTCTCTGATCTTACAGTCACCAGCAGACTTGGTTTCCGCAAGAAGCAAGAAACAGGGTAGCAGCCGCGGGCCATAGTCACTTACAAAAGAGCACAGAAACACTTCCTCAGCTCCTCAGGAGCTCAGCACCAGCTCAGTTTTACCCAACACCGCATCCCACACACGGGAGACCCAAAGTCGAGGCCCACCTCAGCCAGAAG